TTTTTGTTTTGTTGTTGTTGTTGTTTATTTGGGTGGGTTTGTTTGAGGGTTTTTTTGGGGGGGTGCAAATTGAAAATTCTACTTCCCATTCTGACACATATGACTTTGCATTTCGCTTCTTTTTTATTGTTTGTCTTCTTTGCTTTTATTTCATTTTGCGTCACTTGTAACTGACAGGTGGTTATAGCTTGCTCTGTTCCGTCACTCAACAGTTAAAACGGAATAATAATACAAATCGCTCCGTTTTAACTTCCCGGGTCTTTGAATGCGGATCTAAAAGTTGGACGATCATCAGCAAACTATGGTTCGTAAGGGGAGTCCAAAAATATGTGAGGGGATTTACTTCAAAAACATCAAAATGTTAACCTATTCTTATCGACACCAGACTCCAACGCATGCCAGTGAAACACGGTCCGGAGGAAGGATGAGCGCTATTCGAGACTCACGACATGGAGATACCTAGACGGTTGGGGAAGGGGAGCTACATGCCAGGGGTGTTAGTGTCGGGGTAGGATGATGTCGCTGTCTCAAAGTGAAAAATTCGTCTGCTAGGTAACTGTTTGTTTTAGTAGAGGTTTTACGTCGCTCGCAACTGCATAAGGTCATATGAGCGCGAAGGGGTGGATGTCAACAGAGAAGTCCTTACAGGGAATCAGACTTACTCTGCTCACCTCTCTAGCTTCAACAGCACTAAAAACCCCGGAAATAGCAGGCCACAAGACTGTGACAAACTACAAAAGAAGTAGAGGAAAATGACGATAGTAAGGATTAGGAAAGAATACGCAGCAGTTCCCTGTTGTAGTTCAGGCTTTTACTGATCCTGTGAAAGCACACACAGAGGAGAGTGTTTAATAGAGGGGCAAATACAGAAAACTCTTTTTTACTGGAGTGCCAACCAAAAATTACGTGCGCATTGCTGTTGTCAAATTAATAAATGAGCTAGATTTTTTAAAGACAAATAGAGAATAGAAAACAGGTTGTAGAAGACGCCATAGGTTGTAGAAGACGCCGTAGGTAGATCTCAGTTGTTCTTTCCCTCAACTGTTTCTGTGCGTGTTTCTTTTACCATGCACTAAGCATCTGTATAATGTCGGCGTGCTTCTACTCACTAAAAATAAGCAAATTGAAAGAAGCTTTTTATCAAGAAGCTATTTATCACTTCAATTTTCACAGAAATGCCTTTATCTTTATTGAGCACTCTAAACTGGCATGGGGGTTTTTTTAAATCGTGTTTTGCATTTCTGTTCTATTCTTACTTCCTAGTTCTACCTTTCGTGTTCTTACATACCACCAGTATTATTCTCGTTGCCCTCCTAGCTTTCGCTAGATTTGCACCCACATCTCTTCACTCACACATTCTTAAGGTCGTCCTAGCTGTTACAACGAGATTAAAATAGGTAAGGCTGACAAGCAATTTGCTTTCACGCAAATTGTTATCATTTCGAGGGAGTGGGAAAAAAATATTTCAAGTTTGGTGCAATACTTTTTAAGAATCAACATGCCCACCTTGTGTTGAACACTGCTAAATCTTGTCACTACATTTAGACTTCTTCTCGACATTGATAGATCTATGGAGACGTTAAGAACATCTACATACCAAAAACAGAAGTTATTTTTTAACACTGTTCTGGTTACTGCTTAAAAGTCATACTCAAAATTGGTTAAAAGTTCAACAACAACAAAAATACATGTTGGTATTTTACTTAACTTATGAAGTCATCCGCCTTCTACATCAGGCATTTAACTACAAAGCCCTGGGGCAATGCTTTCAGGACTAAAAGCAACAAACAACAACAGCAGCAGACAACAACTACAACAACAATATTTTTAATAATAATAAATATCATTTGTATAGCGCATGTCCCCACTCGAAAGCAAGCGCTATGCGCTTTACACTATTTGATTACCCCAACAGACCATAGAATACTCAGAAACATTCTCAGCTTCCCGGGAAGCATACTGTGCAAGAAGCTAGTTAAGCGCTCAAACACTAACAAACTGACAAGATCTGTCACTGTCCATAAACAACAACAACAGCAGCAGCAAAAACAACAACAACAGTAACATGTCTTTCTACTTCTCTCAAGTCTAAACGTTACTCTCCCCAGATGATGAGCTGGAGACTTTCATCACAGAAGTGGTGCAGGCTGCAAACAGAGGCGTCTCCGCGGTGAAAAATGCAACACAGTCAGAGCCCAACTGGAGCTTTGGTCAAGCTTTTTTCTTTGCCAGTACTGTTGTTACAACCATAGGTAAGAATGATTATTATAACGTATTTGTTGATGTTTTTAACCCCCCCCCCAAAAAAAAAAATATTAAAAAATCACACAAAAAACAACCGAATAAAATAAAAATAAAAATTGACAAACTTTGGAGTATTTAGGAGTCATTTTTCATACCCTGTGTGTCAGGGC